CCATCTCAACAATTGCATCACCACATGCCGCACTGCAGACTGAACAAGAACGTGTGAATCATCTGCCTCTGGTCATCCTGGTTGACGCTGAAGAAGTGGTCGTCAACAATGCCAAGGTTCCCTGGCATGATGGCTGGGCAAAGAGGAATAAGAAGGCTCTGGTTCATGTGCGATTGCAAAAGCTTGTGGGTTGCGTGAACCTTCTTCCAAGTATATTCGTCACTGCTGTTGAGTAGATATTTTAGTATAACCAACCACTATGCTTGTCATTGAGTAATTGACTGTCTCAGAGAAATTGACTGTCTCAGAGAAAAACGCGACAAAGTAGCGTGAAGTGACACACAGCAGGCACTGTAGATGTTTTAGCGCACTCTCGTTGTTCGGCTCGCGACTAGTCTTTGTACACAGCAAGGATAGCGTTGTGCTTCCGCAGAACGACGTCCACACAGAATATATCAGGAAGAAGTCACGGTATGAGACACACAGTTGGTTGGGTCTAGCGCGTCCCCCCGAAGCAGATCTGGATGGTGTAGGCATCTGTGAAGTTGCGGCTGTTGTTCCTAACCCAGTCTTCCCATCCACTGGACCACTGGACCACTCGCCAAAACTGCCAGGTTTCTCCATGGGCAACCCAGCATCTGGTTGCTATGGACTGGTTTGGCCATCTTTCATGGATGAGCTCTGGCTGGTCGTCATGGTGTGTCCTGCTTCCATAGGACCAACAGAGGCACACCTGTCTCTGGTCATCCTGGTTGACGCTGAAGAAGTGGTCGTCAACAATGCCAAGGTTCCCTGGCATGATGGCTGGGTAAAGAGGGAGACCTACGAGCTAGTGGGCTGTAAAGTAGTAAATAGCGCATGCATAGCCATAAGAAGGCTCGGTTTGCCTGGTAAAGGTTTATGTGGGAAATGAATATTGCAAAAGCTTGTGGGGCGCGTTCAAACTTCTTGCTAGTATATTCTTCATTGCTGCTGAGTTGATATTGTGGTAGTTGACCCAAGTTGTATGGAGACTTCTGCAATGTCACTGTGAGCCCTGAAAGGTCAGTCACGGAAAACGCACAGTCTGTTGGCACAGACGCTCTGAGGGTGACATGTGCTTCGCTCTAGATGTAGTTGAGAACCACTATGCTGCTCATTTTCCAATCGCCTCTCCCACAGAAACATGCAACAAAGTAGCACGAGGTGACACATAGCAGGCACTGCGCATGTTTTCGTATGCTCTGGTCGTTCAGCTCGCGACTAGCCCTTGTATAGGGCAGAGACTCCCCGACACTATGTCTATACTTGTCGTGCTTCCGCAAAACGACGTCCACACAGGATTTGTAAGGAAGAAGTCGTGGTATGAGACATGCAGTTACCATGTGAACATCTAGGTGACACCCTGCGTCGGGGAGACTCTCACTGCGTTGTCCGCTCCGGAGACACGGCGGCGACCATCTGGGCCAACTGGGCGGCGTCGAGGGTGCCATCTGGTGACACGTCCACCAGTGGGATGCAGAGCGGGGGGTCCACCTGAACAAACCTGCCAGTCTGGTCGTGGTAGCCGCTGAGTTCGATGCAATCGGGCGGCATGGTATTTGCAGCGCGGGCCGCTTCCCACGACCGCCCAAGACGCTGGCATGGTCGACAGATAAGGTGATCGGCATCGCACTGGGTACAAACGGCGTTGCACGGCCGCAGCGAACAAGCCTCGCACCAGGAATGCGTCCACTGCCCGCAAAGTTCGCAAGGTTGGGCTCCGAGGTCTCGTCCAGGTAAGTTTTCAGCCGCAGTGACCAGCGCAAACGCCGCCCTCTTGGGAAAAGATCGCTGGCGCTCATCGCGTGGCACTCCGCGATGGTCCTCGCGCGGATGTAGGCGCAACCAAACCTTCGCTTCCGCCACCCACGCTTCCCAAGCCACTGGGCGCAGGGCAGTCATGGCGCGGCGGCGTGGTGAGAGGAATGACGACGAGGTGTGCTTACAAGTGACTGGCTGCGAAGCACCGGAACCCAGTTTCCAAGTAGCACTGACGCAGCGTACAATCGTGTGTACTGTGGTATTCGTCTTCGGCCCTCGCCCGTCCTCGCCTTCTTGTCGAAGAGCACACCTGGCGAGAAAAACAAGAGGGTTGGCGAGAAACCTCTCAGATGTTTCATGAAGCTCAGTGTGGCACCGCGCCGATGAATTTGTCTTCGTCTTCTGCCCTCACCCGTCCTCGCCTCCTGGTAGAAGAGTACACCTGGCCGGAAAAAAAAACAAGAGCCTTGGGGAGAAAGCAAGAAGATATCTCCTATGCTAAACTATTTGCTGAGATTAGAGGCTGAAGCTCACGGCGGCGCCGCGCCTATTTTTGTTTGCCTGCGCCGTCTAGTCCGCGCGACGACACTTCTGCAGAACAGCGTCCATGCCGTCGCGGTGATACATTTTCGCAGAGCGGCGTCCATGTCCCGAGCCTCTCAGAGACTCAAAGCCGCGTGAGCGTGCTTGGACAGCAAAGTCTCCCAATGCTTCAGTGCCCATAGAATATAGTCTCGATTTTTCCATGGGCGCAAGGAAGGTCGGCGCCGCAAAATCTGTTCAATGGCTTCCTGCGCCTGAAGACCTTCCCTGGCCATCAACGTCGCAGCCAGTGCCGCGGGGCTGCGATGTATGCCGCCGAAACAATGGAAGAGCACGACTTGTTTCTTCCCCAGCATGGCACGCCTGGCATTCAAAGTGCGTGCGATCTCTGACCACACCCGACAGTTCTTCTGGGCCTGCTCCGTGTACAGCGTCGGATCTTGGGCGACTTTGACCGTCAAATCGTCCAGAGCGTAGACACACTGTTGGGCACTGTGCAGGCGTAAATAGGCATCCCAACTCTCTGGTGTCCCTTTGGCCTGCAACTCCTTGGCACAGAGCGTCACGAGCGTGTTCACTTGGACGCCGCAGATATGCGCCACTTCGGCCAAGTTCGCCGCCGACTTCAGACTGCCCAGGACATACACCATATCGCTCGACTCATAGACGATGGTCGCGTCCAAGGGCCACGCACGGAGATCTCCCAAATTGTAAGAATGGTTCCACATGACACGATCCAGATGCCTCCATGGCCCATGGTAGAAGTACGTCTGAATGAGATCCTTCATATCGTCGATCCACTCTTGCGCACAAAGCTCCACAGGCAAATGTGGCAGGGATGGCTGCAGGTGATTCATACCAGGGCAATCTGTCCGAAGCCTAGATGTTATGAATACTGGAGCCAAAAAGCTATAACCCTGAGAGAAATGGTTAGTTGTTGTTGAAATGGGCAAGAACCAGAAACTAGTGCCAAAAGAAGCGCGCGTGCTATCATAGATGTAAAGCCGAGCTTTTCTCTCTGGGATCCCGCGCCTCGCTGACGCGTTGCGTCCACCGCAGTGCCGAACTTCGACAGAAGCACGTCCATGCCTTGAGAGACAAGAGAATAGAAGAAAAACAACGAAAGGAGCGCGCGATGCAGTCTTCTGGTCCAACTTTCATGCTAGCGTCGATCTAAAGCTAAGCTTTTCTCTCTGGGATCCCGCGCCTCGGTGTCGCCCTGTGTCCACCTCCGTAAGAACTTCCGCAGAAGCGTCGGATCTGGAGCAACACGCAAAGCAGACTATAAGACAGAAGCAGAGTTCTCCGGCGGACTATTATGCAAGTTGAGACAATTACAAAGGACAGCGCTCCCTAACAGATAATTACCTCGAAGCTTGCTGAAATTGCA